GGTAATAAAATAATTAGTGATGTAATATTTTCCCTATGAATATTACAAAAACACAAAATAAGTATTTATATTTGTGTAGCCTTTATTTTTTGGGTAATTAACAAAGTTTGTGTACTCAGACCAGTAATATTTGGGGTCACAAGTTTTTGCAATGAATATTTTGTGGGTCAAAAGCTGAAAAGTTTGGGAACCACTGTTTTAGACAAACAGTGTGACATTTAGTGAAATGTTTGGTTTGAGTGATGTGGGGCGATTATTCTCTCGTGCTGAGCATAAGCTATGAAAAGCCTTAGTCTGACCCTGTATAAAAAAGAAACATGCTTACAGTAGGATATTAAAGCAAAAAAGAGCATTTATTGATTTTWGTTTTGTATGGATTGCACTAAAACCATGTCTCGTGTAGTTCTGTGATAGAAAYGAGAAAAGATGGAGCAATTAAAGGAGTTAGAGCCTTACAGTTTTTCATTTTGGCTTCCATCTTGTGACATTTAAAGGATGTATTTTCATTTACCTCGTATCTGAGTTGGGGGGTTGAGATTACCCGTACATATGGGGCGGAGCCTAGATGCTCAGCCGTACACAGTGCAGGTAATAAATCCCTCTTTCCGTGTGCCTCCTCCTGACATTTACTGTTTCCTGCTTGCAGACTCTGCTGTGCTTCATCCTGGATGAAGCCCATTGTCCAAATGCTCTCCTGCAGGCTGGAAATGCAGCTGCAAAAACTATTGATTTTGTTGTACAGTATGCCACAGAGAGAGAGAGAGAGACAGAATACCACCATGCGTCCTCCAGAAGCTTCTTTGTGACTGCACACACTTTTTTTGTTTGTTTCTGGGTGTGCAGGCATCACTGTGGTGCTCATGCATATTTTGTTTTAGCTTTGAGCAGGAGATCAAAGCTAGCGGAAACCTTTTTACTGACTGTGCCTAAAAGGACCAAACAAATTATCGTTGCTCTCTAAGATATGTTGCAATGATTTCTATATTTACAACAGGCTGTGGCTTACATGCAGAAGCAGGTGTCAGCCAATCAGATGGTTGGCAGTTTGATTCCGACTTGATCCCTCCTCACGTCAACGTGTTTAAAGTGAAGCAACAGGAGAACCACTGTTGTCACCCCTCTGCTGATTAGATTGTGATGAGCTGAATGCGGATTGGGGTGCAGTTGGTCAAAATCTCTACACTTCAGTAATTAAATAGAGCTTGTTGTTCTTTGAATAAAGTTTAAGAGAGACATGGCCAAAGGTAGCTCATGGGCCCGAAGCTGCCCATAGATTTTCTTTAACCGGTTTTCAGCATCTTCAAATAAAAACAACTTCCGTAAAACTACAAATATTTACTAAAATTTAGGCTTAAACTTTTATTTGGTAATTAAAGTCAACTCATTGGTTCTAACAAATAGAATATCATAAAAAATAGAGCTTTTGCCTTTATGGGAATGATGTAGCTCAGAGGTCTTCAATGGTGAGGAGGTACACCGGGGTAGTAAAATTTTTGGTCATTTCTTTTTCTTTTTTTTTAATCAGAGTCAGAATCAGAATCAGAATGGGGGAAAATTGCAATTATTACAGCTGCCGCCATTCAAGTAAGCATTAGAGATAAAGTATAAAAGAAGAAATATTATAT